CTCGTTGTAACCAGAAACCCTTTAAAATCCATGGAGTGAGTAAGATAAGTAGATAAAACACGGAAAGAACGGTTTCCACTATGTTGCTTGTCGAGCATGTTATATTGAGGGATTTGCATGACGTTACCTAATTTCTAGTCTCCATCGAACTGATAAGTCTCGTCATTATGTCCGAGTTACATTTTCTATATATTTCTATATCTTCATTATTATTATATACATGACTATATATTTAATGTGATTCTATTCATCGTCCATCGTATTTCAATAAATATTAGGGATACCCATAAATAATGTCGTTTTTTGTTACTTATACAAAATTTTATTTTATTTTACGTTAAATTCTCTCAAAATTTTAAAATAATCACACTAAATATCAATAAATATAATTAGTATATATGTTATGTAATACTAAATAGCAAACAACGAATGAGATAGCAATGTTCATTCAACTTAAAAAAACGACATTACTTATAAGTACTTCTAATATGCGAGATTCTCATTTAACTCGCTTATATCACACCAGAAATTTTGGTTTGGTTTCTTTGTACACGTGATATTTTTTCATTTTGTTCTTAGAAAAGCCTGATTGTGACTCTTCGTATTAATGTTTGTTTACTTCATATAATAACGAAGAACGAGCTTTTCTAAGAACAGAATTAACAAATATCACGCGTACGAAAAAAACCAAGCAAACATTTCCAACGCGGTGTAAGCGTAATAAAAGAATCACGCATACTTATGGAAAAACGCTGGCCGATAAATTTATAAAAAATTTTAATTAGAAAATGCTTATACCATTGTGCAAATTTCACCTATGGCGAAAAGAGCACGGGTTTAGTGATTTATGATATTAATGTCTCGAAATTGGATGAAGGTTCTGCCGTGATGAAAATGTTTTCGTTGAAATGCGACTAGATCAGCGTACATAACGATTTTTGGACGGATGGGTGCTCGACGCTTGTTCCCTTGCTGGGACCAGCCAATATTCAAAGCTACCTTCAACATCTCCGTCGTACATTCATCCAAGGTCCAGGTCTTATCGAACATGCCGTATAGGAATGAAATGTCCAGTTCCGGCAAGAATGTTGCAAAAGTTCCGACACGAAGGACAAAAAGGACGGATTTCCACATTACTCCTGTCATGTCCACTTACCTCGTGACGATCGCGATTATCGGAAACGTTACAAATTATACGGCAGAGAATAACATCGAATTGTATTACACGGGGGACACGGGGAAACACATACAAATAGTCCGAAAGATCGTTAGAACGGCTAATGTCTTCTTAAATACTTACACGTACCACAGATGCGTAAATATGACATTGCGTATTCTGTCGTATCGAGACTTGCCGAGCAACGCCATAGGAGCTTGGGGATTTGCAGTTTTTAGGTAATGTTTTCATTAGAATATTATGGAAATGAGGAGAAGAGATGCTCTCAATATTTGGTATTCGATGTATTTATCACGGTCGTTCGGTTACATATATATACAGAAGTAAAGTCACTTTATACAGAAATCTGTGTCAACGGATAGATTTTTGGCATTCCAAACACAACTGTTTTATTTGGAAACATGATTTTCAGAGAAAATGATATCATTTACAAGCGAATCTTCGATTTTCCCGGACGCAAATTTGCAATATGGAAAACAGTAGCTAACCAAATAGCACGACAATGCATCGAGAGTTTCGTCAGCCCACAGACGTGGACCCAACAGTGGTTTAGCCGTGCGTTTGCAACGTATCTTAGTTATAAAATAGCTGGAAAGGTGATTATCTTTTTCTCTTGTCTCGTTAGCATCTCCAACACATGGTTGCAATTGGGTAGTTAAAAAGTTGCTTACGGCCGTCGTTGTGCAGCTCTGTCAGGCTTGACGAACCTATTATTGATATACTGAGAGAAAAAAATATAACAATTATCCTTCAAATGTTACACTGTTTCTCGAAGTTCAAAATATTCAGTAAAAATTAAACTATTCTATGTCACGCGTAAATATCACAAGTTATTGCTATATTATGAAATTTTTTGCTGATATCTGATTTTTGTTTTTATCTTTTGCGATTTTTAATTTCAGAAAGAATATGACCCGGATATTATGATGCAATTTTTTGTGGTACAAGTTATATTGCCTGCAATGCATAATGATAAAGAGCTAAAAATGCCAACTCTTACAGACGATTATGATCCGTTTTATTCTTCTCTCATTTATAAGAAAGGTAAAAACGCACGAAAGTCGCAATGTAATCATAAGTTATGCTCGTTGTTTCAAGACAAGGTGAAAGTAATGTCATATAAATAAAATATAACTCGGATGATCTTTCGTAAAATGTCGAATACAAACAGCACAAAACTTGAAACACATTTAACGTCTGTTTAATATGCGTCAGCAATTTATTTTATTAATTTATTCAATATTAAAATTTAATTATATTATATAATCCAATGGAAATTTATTTAACCATTTTAGAACTAATATTCCTTCATTATATCGAAAAAGACTGCGAAACAATCATGAAAATGCACATTGTATTATAATTTATTATAAATGTGTTTAAAATATTGTAAAATTTATTTAATTTTTTCACTTTCTATGATGTATTATATTCCAGCATGTGCTATGTTAATGATGTTGGAAATTATCGCCACAGAGGAAGTATTGCAAGATGCATTTGCCCAGTATATGCGGAAATAGTAAGTAATGCGTCACAATATAACATGACAATTATAAACAGTGCAGCAAAGTTTATCATTTGAAATGTAATAATGCATCATCGCAATTCTATATCAAATTCAAAGATATTATAAATCCCTGGAATTTCTGGATAAACAAATATTTATGGATAAATGAATTGTATTTAGTAAAATAGAAGCAGTATTTAGTAAAATAGAAAGCCGAATTATTTCGTTACTTTTTTCAAGCTATCATATCGTTCGATATTTGCATGGCTCTAATCTTGTAAAATATATTTTACTTGCACAGTGCATACGGCTCCGCCACACCATTCAATTTTTTGAGGATACTGGAATTAAAAATGCGTGCATTATCTGAGGATCATATAGATTCTTTCTGGGAAATAACGAGGATAATGCACATTTGGTTCTCGCAAAGACGTTTTCCAACATTGGTTGCTGTACAAAATGATAACGACAAGAGTATAGATGTTACAATTGATGGTTCAAAAGAAACCGAATGGCCATTACCAATAATATCCGAAGTACCACCACGTGTTCATATCCTGCTAGCTCCCTCCATGATATCGATTTACGATTTCGTGCAGAACATTAGCACTTCTTTCAATATTCACGGGGGCGGACCAGATAATTTCTTTATATTTAACGTGCGACATTTCGGTGTGTACCGAACGTTTATTCAATTTTATCACGCGCTCATTACAATACGATTGAAAGGAGGACTAATTCATTATTTCTACGATAGGCTACTATCGCGTCTATTACGATTATGATAATTGGATGAAAATCGCGAAGCATCTGAATAACGAGGATCATACGAAAATACATGTTCTCAATCGTGCTCAAATTATCGATGATGCGTACCATTTTTTAATGGATGGATCCTTTAGTTACATAATCTTCTACGATTTGATTAGTTACTTACAGAAAGAGACGAATTTTATAGTATGGCACAGTATGATGAACATTCTGCATTATTCGTCACCATTCTTCAACATCCCAGAAAGTACATTTTTCAAGGTATCCTTTTCTTTCTTTTTCTCTCCTTTTCTGCATAGTAACAAAGATAAAAATATTTCGATGTTATGACATTGAGTTCTAGTACACGTAAGCTTTCAAGCATAAAATTTTCCAAATAATACGTGCGCGATGTACAAAACATATAGAAAATGAATATTACCTAACGGCTCTTTCAGGAACACGTTATAAAGATCATGCGCAATCTTTTCACGAGGATTGGGTATTATGAAGATCCGAAAGACAATGAAATGTTGCAAGCTACGCGATTATTACTCCTGAATTGGGCCTGCAAACACGGCCATGATAAATGCAGAGAAAATGCCCACAACAAACTGGTGGCACACATCCATGATCCCGAAAATAAACCGTAATTATCTAAGTAATCGGGAATCTTATATTCAATTATTACAACGTTTCGCAAGACTGACTGTGACTGGAACTGCGACCGAATATTTATTCTTTTTTATTTTTCCATGTTCTGCATAGCATTTCACAGTGGTGGGATGACTGGATATATTGCGCGGGTTTGATGCACGTATCCAACTACACTTTGCCTGAACTTTTGGATATTTTGCACACACAGAAAAAAGATGTTTTACAATATATACTCTGCGTCGATGACGATGATTTGCTCCAGAAACAAGTGGAAATGTTTTTATATAAACACGAAACAGCGCAAGACGAAAATGTTCGATTAAGGAAATTCTATCGCAACTTTGTGAAGAGGCATGCTAGAAAGCCTAAAGTACTCGATTTTATCTTAAAGAATTTCGACAATATACTGCCAGGGTAAGGCGCCTTCTTTTCTTTTTGGTTTTCTACAATGTTCATAATCGTATAGAGAGTGAGGCAATATAATCATTACCACTTGGAATATTTTTGAAATATGGGAATAGGAGGATAATTTATCTCTAACGGAAATTGCATTGATAACAATATTCATCACTTTGAAAATCTTGTGTATATATTAACTTTTTTCATCTTCATTTAGTCGTTAATATATTATTTTTATTATTCTTAAATATATGTAAAGTAGTAATACATATTGTTTCATCCTGCATATGCTTGTCGTGACGTTTTACGGCTAATCTGTTTCATGAATGTTACAGTCACATGACCATCGTGGAGAAAATAACTCATATTTTTATGGGCGTGTACTCCAAATGCCAACTTGACAAGGTAAATTTCACAATTTCGCTCTATTATTTATGCACATATTCTAAATTATTTTCAATTACATACATAGATATGCGCCGTGCGTAATATCTTGCATATTATGTAAAAGATTACGCCACAACAAAGTTTTCCGGCAAGCCAAAATAATGTTGATTAATTGGTATGTTACAATCTGTTTTAGATATTGCAATACGTAAATCAAAAAGCCAATTTGAACGCGGAACCCACCATTAAACATTGGATTATCTATCGAAAAGAACAAATAAATAGGCTGAAGGAGAGTTTCTCTAGTCGTTTCCACGATCATACTCCTATAAAGGAATGCTGACCAATTAAGAAATAACTGATAATTAAACAATTGTACGCATGTTCTAAATCGTACAAATAAACTTTTATTGTTGATTTTGCATANTTTATTGTTGAATTTGCATATTAACTCTGTATTTTTTATCTTATATTTTCTTCTTTCTTAAATAAGTTCCTGCAATTATTATCATAGTTATTATTATCATTGTTATTATTATTATTATTTTTTATCATGTATTCGTTTTTTTAAACATCAAAGCTGCAAACAACAATAATTAACAAAACGTTAAGATTTGCTTGATTTATGGTCCGTCGGTTTCGCGAAAAGTTAAGAATATTGTAATTCTGCTACTGTCCACCGAAGTTTTTTGTGACAACGAGATAAATGATTTTGAATTTAAAGCAAAATTCTTGTTTATTTTGTCAGGATATTCGTCGATATTCATCCTGACATATCAAGATAGAACATTTCCGGGGGAAATATTTATAGATTTTCATACCCCGCTCGTAGTCCTATTCGATCTTATAACGACACCGAGTCCAGACGTAGCTACTCGTTTAGAAAGGTAAGAAAAAGCAGTCTTAAATATATTTACATCGTAACGTTATTGATTAATTCGACCGTTATTTAATTAAATTAAAAATCATACGT